GGGCTGCTATCCATTACTCCACTGTGCCTAGTCAATTGGTGGTTGACATGTTATGGTAATTGTTGATTGGTTATATCAGTGGTTTTCAGATTTCAATAAAATTTACACCAAAACTTTAAAATATAAAGACTAAACATTTCTTTGAAAATATTTATTCAACTTTAATAATCAACCCTGTCATTTTGTTATTTGTTTTTTACGGAAATTTATTTTAAAAAAATAGAAAAGTTTTCCTTGAAGTAGGAGTGGAATGCAAATAAGTTAAAACTGGTAGAAGTTTATTTGAAAAAGTGGGCTGAGATAGTTGTTCTGTCTGTTTTCAGTATTTAATGTTTGTTCAATGGCATTATCTCCTCTCTGCAAGTCACACACACACACACACACACACACACACACAATACCAGAAAAATAATTTTAAGTTCTTAATTGCTATTTCATTAAATTGTAAATTATGTAAAGTCTTTGTGATCCCCAAATTAGGAACTACTTATGTGAATGTTTTGATCATCACAGATGCTCATAAATTTTTATTCATAAATAACAAGCTTGTTTGTTTTTTGGTTTGTTGTTTTTTTGTTTTTTTTTTAACATTAAAAATGCACATGTAGCCATATGCAGAATAGGGTCAGTAAGTTTGATCACTTATCAGATGGATGAAAAAAATATATATATATATATATATATATATATATATATATCTGCCTATTGATATTTACTAATCTTAATTTTGTACTACACAAGAAAAATGGAAGGAATAGGTAAATTGTTTAACTGATTTGTAAGGTTTTACACAGGTTTTAATACACTTATATCAATTAGGAATAAGCAGCTACCTCAGCCACTGCAGTTAACCACAGAAACTTAAAGTACAACATGAAATGGATGTAAAAAGATTGAGATTGATCTTCCAAGTGGAGAGGCTCAGCCTGCTTTCAGAACTAACATTCAAAATCCTAGCTTTATTCTAGTCTGGTTGGAAATATGTAACTTTTGACTTCTGACTGGTTGGAAATATATAACTATCTCTGTCAAAAACAAGCCCTTTGACCTTTAGGTATTAAATTCCAATCATAGGAACAGCTTAAATTGGTATTATATGCAGTGAAATGAAGTTTTCTATGTACTTAAGAAAATATCAAGATGACTCTTGTTGGAACATATGAGTCCCACATTTTACAGTTGTGTAGAAATACAGAAAATCTGATAATGGTCAGACGCTATGACAATTCTGTAAAGAACTCAAACCTTGAGAAAATTTCAGTGATAATAAATAAAGAGAAATAAATAAAACATTTAAGAAATAGTAGAAATACTTTTAAAAAATTACAATAAAAACAAAGTGACATTTTATTTTATTCTCTTACTAATATTCTTTTTTTTCCTATCTTTAATGCTGTTGGAATATGTGAAAGATGTTGATTTCTTTTTCCTTGGTATACTTGTGTAAATTTTTAGTAGAAAAATACCCAGTGAACTCTTTATCACAGATTGTAAATCAAATGAATCTTGCAAGCCATTCTTTATGAGTTACTGTGTATTCTTGTATTTGAGATAGCTTATTTCAGATCAATCAATATTGAAATTATTTCAATTTAAATAAAACATAATGAGTATGGCAATAATTTTAATATCTTAAGTGTACAGAGTATGTTTGCCTGCACTTTTCAGAGGAGAATATTGTGAAATGCAGGGAGAACTGCCTGATTCATGTTCATCTTATTGTTACATCCTGTGTCTGGCATGTTCCCATAAATGCCTTGAAGGCTTGATTAATGATCATTTTTCTGCATTTTGTTTTTAAGGTTTTATCTATGTGTACCCAAATATGAACTTGTATTGTTTGAAAATAACACTGACTATAATTAACATCTGCTCATTCTTGAAACTTTACATGTCCACAATGCGGTTCTTTCTTTAAATACAAATATGATATGGGAAGAGTGAGATAATCTGTCATGTGTACACAGATGTGTGCATTTATAATATGCTAAATTTGGCAATGTAAGATAATTTTTCTTTATTTTTAACCCTTACCTCCCTGAATAAATTTAGTGTGCCATTTTGTGATAAAAAGATACTCTTGTTTGCAATAATCTTTTCACTATCTAAATTTAATATGAAAAAGAAAATTTGCAGAAGTGATTTACTTTTAAATAGATATTTTTCACTAATCAAATAGTCATCATGCAAAAATTTAATCAACAGTTAATCTCTGAGCGAATATTAATTTTTCTTTTTTCTCAGATTAAATTACCTTGCAATAAATATGAAGTAATATTGCTTTTCTTTCATAAACATTAACATTTTCATATAAATGTTTACTGAAAAGAAATGGTTGGATATTTAGCATTTTAAGAACTGTATGCAATAATAATTTAAAGTTTCTTTCTCTTTTGATCTTTCATTGTTGGAAGATGTAAGGAGAGTGAATATTTTCAAAAACAAATAAAATGATGAATAAATAGAGAATGTTAAAACATTTGAACCTTGAACCTGGTAAAGAATTCATAGCTGTTGATTTTAGAAGCACTCAGCATAAGGTGAGGTTTTTCCTCAGAGTTGTTCAGATAACTAATTATTATTTTTTTTTTTTGTTACTACAATATTTCTACCAGTCCGTTCTGCAGCCTTCTTCTGATGTACAAACCATAAAGAAAGAGAAAAATCTCTTTTGTATAAGGTAGCGCTGAAAAGATAAAATATATATATATTTTTTTTTTTTAGACTTCTTTAGTTAGGCTGAGAACTTTTCAGTATCTATGCCCCTGCATATGGAAATTGGTGGCAAACTGAGAAACAGTGAATGATTCTCAGTAACATAAGCTATGCAGACAATACCATTCTTGGCCACCTTTGCAAAACAGATATTCTATAGTTATTGGGGATTCATTCTAGTTCCCTCACTGTTGAAACAATCCACTTGTTATATTAGCCAATATTTCTCTTTTGTTCACTATATATTTTTTGTATATACTAAGCCCTCTCTTTGCTTTTGGATTTTACACTTGAGAAAGGCAAAAGAATGGATCAACTTAAATATATATTGTAGTAATGACAATGAATTTGGTTATTTAATTGAGGGTTCAAATAAAAATGACTCTTCTAATGAAAATAAAGTTTGATATTTATCTTTTAAAACATTACTTATACTTTCTGTCTGAATTTTTGGAATGAGGAATTATTATTTATATATTATTCATATTCAGACTATTGTTTTCATTTTCGTTGTTGTTATCACAACATTAGAGTTGTTGTGCACTCTGGCCATCACCAGGTATATATCAATCTGGGTAACCTACAGGGAATTCAGAACTGAACCGTTCATTTAATCTGTGGGGGTAGACTGTTCTAGTTCCACTGCCCATGTCTAGGGTTATCATATAGTTTTTTTATTTTTAGTACTGCTCAGTTTTGATTTTGTGGAAATGGGTGAGCAATAACTGAGCAGTAATAAAAATAAATGAGATATCCCTAGGCATGGGCAGTGGGGAGAGAACAGTCTACTGCTGTAGATTAAATAAAGGGTTCAGTTCAAAATTCCCTGTAGGGTACCCAGATTGATGAAGGTCAGAATGGCTTGTAAATTTTAATACCTCCAAAATTAAACTGCTCTCATTTAACCACAACAGAGAAACTTTTCTGTCCACCATCAACATGGCTGATGCTAAACTTCTGGAGAGCACTACACTGCACCTTCTTGGCCTCATGTTTTCAACTGACTTAAAGTGGAGTGACTACATCGAATCAATTGCTGCATCTACTGTTAGAAAATTTGGGCCACTGTGTTGTGCGAGAAAGTTTTTCTCATCAGTCTATCTTGCACATTTACAAATCTACCATTCGTCCACATATTGAATACTGCTACCATATCTGACCTGGTGCTCCTGCTATTTATCTGAAGGTTCTTGAAAAAATACAAATAAGAATCTGTATTGTCATCGATCCTGACTTCAGTCACTTTCTCACTGTGGTGGCATGGCTTCTCTGTCTTTTCTACAAATATTTTCATGGCAACTACTCTGATGAGCTTTTTTCCCTGGTGCCCCAATTACATAAATTCAAGTGTGTTACTAGAGTGGCATCTAGGTCCCACCCATTTACTGTTGAAATAGTTAAATGCAACCACCACTTCTATTCCAACAGTTTCTTTTCTCTCATTTCCCAACATTGGAACTCCCTTCTGTTTACCTACTTCCCTGATAAATACAGTCTTTAAAAATTTAAATGCAGCATCAATCACCATCTTCCATATTGAATGCCATTCATCTTTTGACCTTTCTTTAATCTTCCCTATACTCGGTCTTTTCTCTCACTCTCTGTTACCCCCTACATGCTAGCGGCATTCCTACCTTGCTTGGGGTGAAATGATTAAAAAGACGACAGTCACAATGGCCGAAACATTGTGATAACAACAACAAAGATAAGGACAAGAAGCCAAATATAAATATTGTAAATCTTACTTATACTGTTTAGAGTTTAAAAGAAAGATTCTACAATGCAAGAACACTTAAAAATTTTCAGTAAAATCAAATCTTTCAATGTTAACATATTTAAAGCTTTTGTAACATAAAAGCAGCAGAAGTTTATATCACCTTAGATTTTTTTTTTTTTTTTTTTTTTTCATGAAATTTTAATATTTCTTTTTTTTTTTTTTTTCTTCATTATGTCAAATTTTGTGCAACCTCGGCCATAAAAGTACCATGAGATTTTGTGTTACTGATTGTAGATCCTACCTCTGAATAAAAAAAATATCCATTTCATTTTTATAGATATGGACAGTGATTCATGACTTGTTATCCACTCTCAAAAAATGGTGGCCTTAAAAAAATTTAAAAAAAAAAAAAACAATACTCCTTTCCACATTTATTAATTTGTTACATTCAGATTTGTCAACTGCGAGCAAGCGCTATCTTCTCTCCTTTTGCAGTAGAGAAACATAAAAAGAGTGACTAGTTCAAAGTAGTTTCAGTCTGAATGCTTCTTGTTTTTCATCTCAACAGATGCTCAAATAAAAACTGAAGAGTTGCCACTAAAGATAAAACAAGAGAACACTGAAAGTAAGTCTTCTTCTAAAACCCTTTCTGTTTTGTAGTTCTTCGACCATTCAATAAACCCTTATTTTTTCTGTTTTTTTTTGTTTTTTTTCGCTTGTCATCATCACTCATTTTAGCACATATAGTTCTGTAGATTTATTAAGTTTAATACAGCATAATACCATATGAGGCAAAATTGAAATCTTCCAAATCAGCAATTGTAAATCCAATTTATACCAGAGTTTGTTATTTACAATGCTGAACTAAGGAAAACCTGAATAAGAAGATTGTACTGTGCCAATCTTCCAAGTGAAGAGCCTTGAAAATCAGCATTTTAAATGTTTTACTCTAGCTTAATATTAACTAAGCTTAACTTATGTACAAGGAAAAATCAGGATGCCTGTTGTTCAAGTGAGGTTGGCCTACATGCTTAGCTTGAATATCAGAAAACTGGCATTTATCTAGGCTTAAACAATATCCTCTAACACTCATGGCAAATTCATAACTATTTTAGCTACTCACATATATAATTCAAAATACAGTACTGTGTTCCCCAAAAGGTTTTAAATAATTATGGCTCTCTACAACTTCCAGACCAGACTATGCATTTCAATGACTGTTTACAAAAAGTGTTGACTTCAACCTTCGGCCAGATTTGATGTCAGTTATTCTTATCACCCACTTTTTATTCAGCAGTCACTAAAAATTAAAATTGACAAAATAATGTTCTCTACAATTGGCACAAGCTGAGTGGCCAATTAAGAATTTTAGCTGATATGTTGAAAAAGAAAATTCTGACTTCAAACCTGGCAGTTAGCAACAGCAACATTTTGTCTTTACTGAAAGGTTATCTCAGTCATACATTAAGGGTGCACAGCTTCAACTTAATGTAGTTGGAAGCCCTGGGTAAATCTGATCTGTCATGACTGCAGTTATTAACATCAATGAAATTACCCCTCTTCATACCTATGGACATTTTTGTTCCACAACCAATTAACCTGTAACTATACTATGCACCTGGCATGTTGTGTGTGTGTCAGTCAGTGTTTGATTTTTATCATGTTAGGGAAAAGACATTTTTCTTTAATACTTTTGATTGCCTTGGAGAATAAATTAGATAGATATTTGTTTTGTCACTTCAAAATCTATTGCTAACTTTCCCCACCCCCACCTACTATGGTACATTTGAGCATTGACTTTTTTTTTTATTAACTCTTTAATTTATAACAATTTTTACTTGTATTGGTTGATTCTTTATTGATTACTGTTTTGTCTTCTATTTGTTCTCCAGTTCCTCTAAATGTCCTAAAGAGAGAAAGTTATCCAAAGAATTCTCTTCTCCAATTTTTATAGCCATTATAGTCCAGTTATAGAACCACTGAAGTTTTCATAATTTAGTAAAGAATTTAGTCAAAAAGCAAATATTTTGTTAAATTATCTAAAAAATCATGTTCTTCTGTAGAACAATACATTGTAATACTTTTTACTATTTAATAATTCTTTACTATTTACAATGTTTGTATTTGAGTTTTCCCTTTGTTTATTTGAAGACTATGGAGTCAGATGCACTGGGATAGTTTGTGATTGATGATGAATGTATATTTATTTATTTCACTTTAACTCTGATGTTTGTATCTTCATTCTTGAGATCATCTCAATGCATCTATCTGCATATTGCTGTTGTTGTTGTTGTTGTTATGTAAATCATTTTGGTTAAATGTAGAATTAATTTTAGGCTGCTGCTGATATTTTAATAACCCTATGTAGGTGTCAGTGTTCAAATAAAATGTGTGTGTTAACTTCTTTAACATTCTTATCTTTTGTTATATATCGTCGTTTGCTCTTAAGTATTGTTTTGATTTGTACATTGTTGGGGATTGATTATGTTCTTGACATTTAATCATTGGTTTTTTTGGGTTTTTTTTTTTGTTTTTTTTTTTTTTTTTTGCATGTGAACTTACATAAAGTAAGAAAGAAAATTTATGTATTTTTTCTTGTTTACTTATCTAATTTAAATTTAATTTTTTTTCAGTAATAGACTAGTTATATAGTGATAAAAAATTTACATATTTAGTAAATCTTGTTTGGTCCTCAGTGCCAAAAGTTGGCAGTGGTGGGAGCATAATCAGAAGAAATTGTTCCTGCCGTGAAAATTTGCATTTATAAACCTTTTTTTTTTTCATCTGGACACAAACAAATAGTTTCATATTTTCAGTTAGTACTATATTGTCCTTTATAAGCAAGAAAAACGTGTTTATTAAATTAATAAAAGTACTACATAGATATAAAATCAGCCTTCAGAATTCTGACTTTTTTTTTTTTTTTTTTTTATGAACTTAAAAATGAACCACTATTTGTCCAAGTAGTGAAAGAGGGCATCATTCTCAGCTATGAAGCAGCTTCATAGGGAAAGCATGTAAACTGTATTTTAAAAAATTGAATTACTTCTTCCTCTCATGATAGATACCAAATTTACTTTACAACAATAGTTTCCATGGTTCAAATATTTTCTCTTGTTAAATAATTTTGTTACACTGAATTTTCACATCAAAAGCAAAATTGGAATTCATTAATATCATAAAAACAAGAAGAAAAAAAAATGAAAGCTCTTTATATTACTTTAGAAATACAATGCAAATTAATATCTCTTGGTATTTAAATTTAATAAATTTTATACAAGGAAACTTAAATCACATGTTTCAACTTAAGTTAGAACCTAAAATTAAAAAAAAAACGAATTGTCTCATTGTGAAAAAATATTGTAAAAACTTTAATTTGCCTAAGGATTACATTGAACAAAAATAAATAGCAAGTATGTTTTCTTAAGTGGGAGGAGGGACTCCACAGGTACTTGAATAAAACTGTTATGATATATCACTGGAAGTGTTTTCAAAAAGTATTCTCAAAATCTGGATAGAATTCAGATAATATCTATCCATTAACACTTATATTTATTTCTTCCTTTTTATATTAGAAACCACTTATATCAACCTAAATTACAGTTGTAATAGTTTAAGATGTTGTGATTTAAGCTATAGTTTTTCTATAAGTTTATATAGGAAAAGAAAAGACCTGTTGAATCCAAGAGACTATTTCCTTTATTAGTTCTCTTTGGATTCAAGTAGAATTTCTTTGAGGTGCTTTTCTTTTCTTTCCCTTAAAGGAGAAAAGGAAGTCCTCAGTCGACCAGACTAATTCAACATACATTTCTCTAACTTTGCAAATTCTCTTAAATCTCACTCTTAATTTTATTTTCAAAATGGCTTTCTTGGTTATAACCATCACACAATATTAAAAATATGTCTTTAAACTTTATCGCATTATCTGAAACATTTAATGCTAGTCTTTATATTTCATAATTTTACACTAATAAAAATGTATCTTTATTTTACTGTGATTATATTGTTATTTTAACTCACATAATAAATCTTCATTTATGTTGTACAGTGCACACGCTGATAAAAATCCTACTTTTAATCCAATCAAAATTACAAGATGATATAACAACATATTTAGCATTTGTTTGTGTTTCCATTAAACCATAGTATATCAGACAGTAAAACCAGCCAAATGGTTAATCTAAGCTGGTTCTAGTACCATGGAGTATAAATTATAAAACACTTGGACTTATGTATTTATGTGAAATATATATCTTCATAATGGCTAGTTACTTGTTTTCCAAACACACCCATCTGCTAGGGTGGCTAGACAGTCTCTGTTGTAAACACCTGCTCAGGCACATTTGTCTTTGTTCAACACCTACAGTCCCCACCAGTCATTTATACTGCAACTATGCTGAGTTGACTATGCTTACAATTTCTGAGAGAGATTGCATAATCTTTCATGATCATCAGTTTGAACAGTGTCAGTAAACACTGTTATGATGACTTTGTACTAACACAGATATCAACGGCTTTCAAACTGTTCTGTCTATTCTATTTCAAGGTTTGGATCAACCTATAGTAAGGTATTCAGGCACTCTCCAAAGATGCTACATGCTGGGATCACCTCCCCAGACTGATAACATGAATAAGTAACCTTCCTGACAAATTGGCCATGATGAGCTTGAAACCCAGGTCTTATGGTTAGAATGCAAACTTTCTAAGGACTTGGCCACATGTCCATCCATACCTGCGCACAGGCAGGCACAAAATTTAGTGGATTTCAAAATTACCATGCAAATTCCAACTAAATATCACAATTTTATTACATATTTGAATGATATAATTTAATAGTAGAGATAGTAAGTAAAATATGTTGCCAAGATTTTCATTATATTTTAAGCCCTGAATAATAGATATGCAGAATTTGATGAATTTATTTAACCTGAATGTGTTTAGGGTTGTGGTACAAAACCTGTTGGTGATTTTTAATATATTCTTAAAGAAACGTTAAGGAAAACGAGCACTAAGTAGATAGGAATAAGATCAACGTCTATTCCTGGAACAAAATCTTTGACATTTTATAGCTTCAGAAATCATCTACAAAATTAATCAGTTTGTGTTTTTCTATCTATTTTGTTTTTCTTTCTCATTATGAATTTTTGATAAGGGCAATTTTTCAAATTTTCATGTTCATTTTAAAAATACTGCATAAATTTTGTTTGTATTTTTTTTTTTAAATGTTTTCTATACTTTATTTTACTGTAAAAAATAACAATGATGAATAGGTAACTTAAACTATTATTACAGAACAGATTGTTTTCTTGTTTTTCTGTTTATGCTCAAATAAAATTCTTTTATAATTTAAAGTAAAATTATATTTATTTTAAACAAAAGTGAATTTTGTCCTTTGAATGAGGAAATATAAAACACAAATTCCCAAAATTATACGTAATGAAGTGAGGGAATGTTTCACTATCTCTCCTGTTTTTGTGTGTGCACTACTTTATCACTATTCTCATGGCCTGAGCTCTATTCTTTAGTTCTACCAGTTCAGGCCTTTACAACTAAGACCCACTATGCTACATCCATGGAGTTAAATCTCTCTCTCATTCCTTCAGTATTCCAATTGTAAGGAAGTTCCACACAGCTTTCTCGCAAGAACTGCAATTTTGGGGGATGGATTATTGTGTAGGATACCCATCCACACCCATGAACACTACACTCTTAACCCCTGCCAGTCCACAGTCAGTTGTTATCTTTCTTCCATAACCTCATAATCTTAACTTCCTATTTCCTCTTACATTCATATCACACTCCTCATTCAGTAACCCTTTACCTTGAGTGGGTCTTAAGACCAGTATTAAGTAAACATTAGTTTTAAAAAATGCATCTAAATAGATGAAGTCTGACATTGGATGCCACATGGGAATTAAACTCACATCACAAGCAGGTGTCTTCTCAAACTAGCATTCTAACAACTGCACTAGAGAAGGTTTGCTAAAGATATTAATCTTAGTGTGACACATAGCCATCATAGTGGTTCATCTTCTAAGGATTGAACTTAACATGCTATCCTATTAGTCTGCCAAACCATCATTGTTCTATTATAAATGTTTCCATTCACATATGTGTATGCAATATTTTTTATTTGTTGATTTATTCTTCTTCTTATGATCAGGTTCTCATTGTCCACAAATCGTTTTGTGACATTGAAAATGCATACAAATATAAACATTTATTGTTTGGTTGTTCTTTATTGAAAATGGATATCTTTGTATAAAAAGTAAAAGATCTGTCTATATTTCTGAGATGAAGTATTATGTACATTATTTAATTTACATTATTCAGACTATTGTCCTCATATTTATTACAATGTTTCGGCCGTTGTATGCTCCGGCCTTCTTTGGGTGGTTGGAATGCTGAACTGAGCCCTTTATTTCGCTCATTGGGGTAGAGTGTTCTAGTTCCACGTGCCATGTTTAATGGATGCCAGTTATCTCCTGTTAATTCCTCTCTGAAAGTTCTCCACTGTCTTAGGCGGGTATTGAACTCACACTCTTTGGGTCCTGTCACTGGATCTAACTAACGCCTTTATCCACTGTGCCATGTGTCCTCAGCTGAGGCAATGGAGAACTTTCAGAGAGAAATTAACAGGAGATAACTGATATCCGACATCCATTAAACAAGGCAAGTGGAACTAGAACAGTCTACACCAGTGAGCAAAATAAAGGGTTCAGTTCGACATTCACCTGAAAAAGGCCAGAGTGTACAACGGCCGAAATGTTGTAATAAATATGGTGACAAAGATGAGGACAATAGTCCGAATAATGTAAATAAAGTAAAAGATGTTTGTCAATACAAAAAGGAAATACTCAACACAACACCTTTCTTACTGTTTATTAAAAATAATCACAATTTAATGCAAAATGGAGCCTTTTAAATTTTTTTTTAAGTATTATTTGTTATTGTCTCCAGTTGTTTTTAGGTGAAATGAGCCCAATCTATTTACTCGACATCATGAATTGAACTTTGACCCTCTTAAACAAAAGGAGAGTGTTGCTTTCCGACAAACATTTTAGTTGTTCCTCCCCAAGATAACTATATGAAAAGATTTAACAAAAGCAAAAAGGAGTTAACCTTGGGGTCAGTTGCAGCATGTCCAGTTTTGTGTCTCGGAAATGATGAAAATAAAGTTGACATTCATAAAAGTAAGAAATTTATGTACATGAAGAAGATAAGTAAAAACATTTAGAAAAACAATTCCAATCAACTCTCACTCACTCATTCACAAACACACAATTCAAATTTTGCTACAAATTATCAAGCTCCTATGACCCAAAATGTGTTTGTAATTTTAATCAATCCTCTCCTTTTCATCATGGGGTCACTCTTGCAATCCAGACATCCTAAATTTATTTTGGTGCTGATCGGGTGGGGGGATTTTTACTTTAAATTTTTTTCATATATAAAAATCAGTATAAAAATAAAAAATTGTTCAAAATAATGTTTTTAAATCTCAAATATCTAGATGATTTAAAAGGTGACATTTTAAAATTAAATTGCATTTTTCTCAAGTTTTTATTTAGTATAAATCCACAAATAATTACTCAAACGTTTTTTAAATTATTTTCTTTTCCGCAGGTGCTGAAAATATTGGTCGATCTCCTGCCTCGAGTGATCTGCCTCGAACTCCCTCAACTGCTGTGGGTCCACAAACGACCCAGACGCCAACCAATGTCTCTCAGAGTCAGTGTGCAACATCGGGGGTATCCCAGACACAAATGGTCGGTGGTAATTCAAAAGCCCTACCTTCACAAGCGAACTGTACAAATCCCACACAGGGTCCTCTCCACCCTCAAGGAATGCCAGGCTGTGGGCCTGGTCAGGGACCCCCCTTAGGTCAAACCCCTCCACAGTCTGCACAAGGGATGCCCCCCTATCCAGGTATGATGTCTCCAAATCACCAACAACCACCCCAGCAACCTCCACAGTCTGGGGGTCCCATTGATGCACATTTCATGCAGCAGCACAGTCAGATTTTTGTTTTTAATACAAGTTTAGCTAATCAAGCAGCAGATTCATATCGCCAGGGTCAACACAAGTCTATTTTGGCATTTCATATGGACCAGCCAGGCACTAAGCAGTTTTTACAGGTAAATATCTCTTAATTCTTGATCAATATTATCATGAAATATAATGTTGATCATTAATTTTTGACTGGTCTACTATTTTTATCCTCTTATTTAAGGTGGAGATAAGGTATTTCAGATTGTCCTATAATGTTTAAATGAATGCCATTATTACTAGGAAAAAACACAAAAGGAAAAGGTAGTCACATTTGAGACTCCTTTCAGCCATCAGAAATAATGGGGTGGAGGGTTATTACTTTTCTAAACAGTTATTACTTCAGCTTTTACAGATTTTGAATTAACAGGTGTTGGTTCTTCTAGCTTTTAACAGATCATTAACCATTTAATAAGTTTCAGGCTTGAATTCTGGGCTTTAGATGTTCTAACAGAATTGTTTAATTCACAGTACTATCAAAGAAATGCAAGAAAGCAGAACTTTGAGAAAATAATTAAATAGCTTAATTATTCCATAAATTTTTCAAACTAGCTTTTTCATCCTTGCTGAGATAGATTGTGAAATAATGACCAATAACTCATTCCAGAATTTGAAACGATATTTAAGATAAATAGCTTGATGCTTCTTTTTATATAAAATGTCATTAGAAAAGTTAATGAATTTAAAAGTTATAAATATTTACTCTTTGTAGCTCTGGAGATAACTTTTGTTTTTTGGTAAGAAATCACATAAAAGATTTTTTTTTATAAATAATCTTTAAGTTTATTTATTTTCATGAAATTATGTTTCTCTTGAGTTTTTAGAACTATTATTTGCTGAACACATTCAAAATACATTCTTATCAAAAATTAAATTTATTGAAGATTTGTTTTTGTCGTCAATTTTATACATGTTATACAGATGGAAATTTTTATTAGCAATTAAAAGTTAAATAGTTAGCTCTTTGCCTAAATGACTGAGTTATTATCAATTCCTTGTCAATAGATAGGCAAATGACAATACCAGATTTTTTATTTTCAACATGCATTTGGAAAAAAAACTCAAATCAGTTAACTTCTTAGACATATAACCTATTCTTTGATATTAGCATTCATTCCAAGAGATCTTGGTTGCTAAATGACTTCATTTGAACAATTTCAATGGAGCAGTGAATAAACCATAACTTTACCAACTGAGAGAAATAGATCCCTGCTTTTCTCAAAATAACTTGTCAAAAGTGAACATAAACTACCTGAGTTGTAATTTGAACTCTTGTAATTCCATTATAGGTGTTGATAGCCATTACACCAACCCATAATCTCTCATCTTAATCTACCAGTTTAATAGCAACTAAGTCTGTGTAAATAAATGTTTAAAATAAAAAATTAAATAGCTCTTTATTGAACTGAAGACAAATCCATATTTTACTCTCTTCAAGGCTGATCATAAGTTGTTAGTTTATCAATGATCAAATTTACTTGATGATTATCAGGTCTTTGGTATTTAGAACTTTGTCAGAATCACATCTTTTGTTTTGAAGAGGACAAGGAAAAATTCTTAGCTATTGTACAAAAAAATTGTAAAGTTTTGACAAAATTGTCTCAGAATATCTCTTTGGGACATTAAATGTTTTCATTAGTTACCCTTTTTTTTCATGTTGAGATAATGCTAATTGCATTTTACAAGTTGAAATCTTTGATTTGTCTCATTTCCTTTAGGCAGGAATAATAGACATTCTTTTTAAAAAGATAAAAAAAAAACATTACTCTTTATTTTGGGACAATTACACTTCACAGATGTACATTTTTGGATTATAATTTAGACATGCAAAGGTACAGCAATAAGACTGCAGCCTAATGATAAAAAATAGGTTTCTTTACATGAGATATTTATTTTTCAACTTAATCTCCTTTCTTGTCAATGCACTTAATTCACTAATTAAATATAATTTATATAGATTAAACCTTATACAATGAAGATTTTAAAATTAAAATTTATCTACCATTTTGTTTATCATAAGGCTTTTTATGTGCTTCGGCTGTTTGTTTTTTTTTGTTTTTTTTTTTCATATGATTTTAAGCATTTTATTAACTTCTTTTTTTTTTTTTTCCTGAGACAAAATGTTATTTCATTTTCTCCACTCTTGTTCTAATACATAATGTTGCCAACTTATCTTCAACAACATGTATCAACCTAAACAGGTCATGGCTGACATGATCAAAGTACATGTTGCTTATCTTCAATATACCTTCTTGGCCTCATGTTTTCCAATGACATGAAGTGGAGTTACTATATTGAATCAATTGCTTCACCAACTGCAAGAAAAGTTGGTTTACTATGTTGTGCCAGAAAAGTTTTCTCATCAGAATCCATCTTGCACATTTATAAATCTACTATTCGTCCATTGAATACTGTTGCCATATCTAGTCTCGTGCTCCAGCTGTTTATCTTGAGATTCTTAACAAAATCCAAAGGATCTGTAATGCAATTGATTCTGACCAAGCAACTCAACTTCAGTCACTTTCTCACCAACACAGTGTGGCTTCCCTCTGTCTTTTCTACAAATATTTTCATGACAACTGCTCTGACAAGCTTTTTTCCCTGATGCTATATGAATTTAAGTATGCTTCTATATTGGCAACTATGTTCCACTATTTTGCTGTTGAAATAGATAAATGCAACCACCACTTCTACTTCAAAAGTTTCTTTTCTCATACTTCCCACCTGTGGAACTCCCTTCTGTTTTCTTGTTTCCCTGATAACCACAATCTACAAAAATTTAAATGCAACCTCACCCATCATCTTTTATCTTCTTGAACCCTATTCATTTTTTTGTCTTTCCCTCAATCCTCCCTATTCTCAATGTTCTCTTTCAATTTCACTCCCTGTAACCCCCTGCGTTCTAGTGGCATTACTGCTCTGCTTGGGATAAATTGATTAAAAAAAAGTAAACCATTGCAGGGCATTTACTTTTTTCATGTTTTTCAAGCACCTAGTATTTTAAGTAGGTATGATGAAGCACTAGTCATAATGTTAGAGGGAATCAAATGGTTTGCTGTGAATAAACCTCATATTTTGTTTGATTTTTCTCTAACATTCTGAATAAAGAATGAGCTCTCAATTGTAGAACTATGAACTTGTATTTTCCAATAATGAACATTAATCTGAAGATCAGTGACCATTGCAGACAACTAAAGTACATTATATGGTAGATTTGTGTTTAAACCTACATGAAACTTTTGATTGGTTATTATTAAGCTTACTTTAACTGGCAAAAGGCCACATTAGTAGGACAACTAATAAGAATTCAACATACTGTACAAGCAAATTGATCAACAAGACAAGCTAGCTTCATGTGATAATAGATGCCTAATATTAATTTATTACAATGGATTTAACATTAAATAAGTTTAACTATTTTGGCTAAAATAAAGTACTTTTTTTTCCATGGGGGGGGTTTAAGAGTAATCTTAAAAATATCATACTCAGAATTGTTTGACATTCTTAAATAAATTATTTCCACTATTTCACACACTTATTTGTTTTATTAATTTATTCTTTTCATATAGTCAATCAACGTAATATTAGTGTGAGAGTCAATAGTCAAAGCAATAAGATTTTGAAAATATTGTGATAAAAAGCAAAAAATTAAGAAACTAGTGAAATATATTTAGAGGTCTCCCACATACACACTCCTAAGTATCTGAAAATAAAATAAAAAATGAATCAATTTTTGGGGGTTGTTGACAAAAATAGGATTGAAATAATTCACTTCTATTCTTACAAATATTTATTTGGTAAATTTAAAAAAATAAGTATGAACAATATATAATGCTATGAGATAAAATAGAAATACAGTTCTCTTGAGTTTAATTAAACAAAAATGTATAAAAAAAATACTCTATACCCAATAAAAACAACTATTTGTAAGAAAATTTGTAATTCCCAAAACTACAGTAGCTTAATTCTATTTTTAATTGATTGTTGTACCTAAAAACAAGTGTTGGTTCTTGTTAATAAGGATAATTGGGTTTTTAAGGTAAGTTAATGTACCATTTTTGATGCTGTATCAAATCACTTCTAACATTTCAACAGGGAATATTAAGAAATAGGTTTTCAGTGTAAGGATGCTGACTATACCATGGTCCAAACATGTGAACAATGACAAAGTTTAGGCAACATGAAAACAAAAAGGAAATGTTTTACTTAACATCAGAAAGAGCTAATTGAGATTTCCAGGGCACATAATGAGGAAAGAGGACTTGGAAAATCTGATAATCACAGAAAAGATTAAAGGCAAGAGGGACAGAGGAAATCAATGCATAACATACTTAGTGAACTGAGTAAATGGATGGCAACATAACAGAAAGCACTACAAGGGACAGAAATTTGTGGAGAGCCATGATCTGAGGGAATATGGCACATAAAGATGTATATTTTCATGTATACTTCAACTTCACATTTATAACCAAAGCATTTTTTCTTTTTTTGTGTGTGAGTGGAGAGAGGGGTCTTGTATGCCATGATATATTGAAATACATCTGTCCTGATAGATTATTTCAGATAGGCCTGTTTGCACACAGTTTCTCTCAACTATAATGATTTAGTTTTACTATTGCTAATTAATCATAAATCAGATGATTTATCTTAATTTCTGTATCTTCCATTGAATGTATGGCCACATCATATTGAAACAGCCTGGTCAGAACGTAAATGGGTGACCACTTGTGAATACGAGGTCCTGTAAGCTTCAATGTGCATGTGGTGTAATGGATAATTGTTAATTGGAGAACCAAGTTCCAATTTCTGTTGAGTTTGTTATCTTCACTTATGTGCAGATACCCTTGGGAAGGTATGAATCCCCTTCCTCTCATCCCAGTCATGGGTTAATTAGTAAGACTTGTATCACTAAACCACTGTTATCTCCCCCCCCCCAAATCTTACAATCTAAAATTTTTTTCTGGTTTTAAATAACCTGCAAAAAACAAATCAATCGGTGTCTCATTCATTCTTATGATAAAATGATTTTCTCATCTTTAAGCCAAAAATAAAATATCCATTAATATAGATTTTTGATTTGCTAGTACTAGAGATTATAGCAAAGAAAGTTAACCTCTCCAAATGTTGTATACTTGAATCTTCATCCTTTTTTATTTCTTTCTTTTTACAGAAATTTCCTCCTAAAGGAGGTCCATTTAATCGGAACCCTGGTGGTGTCCCAATGTTTAGCATGAATGTCCGGCAACCAAATATGTGCCGCATAAAGAACTCTAATATGGCCAACATGGGCCCAAATCCTAATTCAGCTGTTGCCCAGTGGGTGCAGCAGCAGAATGCCAATCTCCAGGAACAGGAATATATGAACTTTCCAAACAACCCCAATAACCCTAATATGATGCCCCAGGGCCAAGGTGGGGGCATGATACCTTGGCAAGTTTCTCCTGGCCACTCCTCGCAGGGACAAATGGGAAACAACTTTCCAGCATTACCAGACAATCCGGGATTTGATCCTGAGCCATATCGCATGTGTGGTAAAGGCTATAGAAATTTATTACAGAATAAAGTTCCTGATGATAAGTTGACTCCTGAACAATTGCAGAAACGGGAAGAGTCACTAGCTTCTCTGCAGAAACTACAGCTTCTTCTTTTTCCAGAAGAACTGAAACAGCAGCGAGGCTTCCCTCCTGGGGCAAATATGATGCCCCCCGAAGGAATGCAGCAACCCCCTAATATGTTTCCCCACAGTATGTCACCCCATGAAATGTCCCCACAGTCTGCAATGATGCAACAACAACAACAGCAACAGCAGCAACAGGGTATGATGGCACAACAGCCGATGCCCCCACAACATATGATGTCACATCATCAGTTCATGATGCAGCAACAGCAGCAGCAGCAGGGTATGCCCCCACAATTCAGTCCACAGCCAGGAAACATGGAGAATATTTCCACAGCCCAACGTGAATGGGTACGTCTTCAACAAGAATTTTATGCAGAAAAACGACGAATACAAATGGCTCACCAATTGAACTCTGGTATGGAAATACCCCCCAACTCAATGCATGCTTCACCACCATCTTACTATAGTTCGATTTCTCAAAAACGGCAAGGGGTTGCTGGAATGAATGCATCTACCTCACCTAATATGAATGGCCCGATGTTGTCACCTTCAATACCTGGACACGGTCATCCAGAATCTCCTGACCCAATGCATTTATTTTCTGGTCCTCGACGACCGCCATCTTTAAGCTCCCTAGAGCAGGCTGGACTTGGTCGGATGGGTCACGGCTTTTCTCCCTCTGGACTTCCACCATCTGGAAACATGGAGCCTCCTGGTGTTCATGGACCACACCCAGGCCCGCCCATGTCTCCAGGTGGTATGAACTCCCAGTTTAATATGCCCCCATCAGCAAAACAAAATTCTAACCTTACTTTGCAGAGAGCTGGTAACCCTGAGCAGTTTCAGCCTGATATGAGTGTGGGCCCAAACTCAAATAACAAACCCCCACCCAGCTATGCACAGTCGACGAAAAGGAAACGTGAAGATATGGAAGAAATATACAAAAACCTTCAACCAACCCCATCACCCCAACAACTGAATTACCTCAATGCGTTTGAGGGTCAGGAATTAACGATAACAAAGCAGCTGAATACTGCTTATCGGGAACCCGGGCCCCCTGGAAACCAGCCACCAAACACATCCTCACAACAGCAGCAACAGGGGTCAGCAGGTGGACAACAGCAGCAGCAACAGCAGCAACAACAAAATGTACCGAGCCATCCAGGTACCCCATCACAACATCAGCAACCAGGTACACCTGGATCTCAGTCACAGCAGCCCCAAGGTATGACACAGCAGCAGCAGCAGGCTATGCCTTCACAACAACAATCACAGCAGCAGGGATTACCTCCACCTCAACAACCAGGCATGCCTCCACATGGTATGTCGCCACAGCATCAACCTGGTATACCTCCACATGGTATGTCTCCAGGCATGCCTCCACATGGTATGTCACCACAACATCAACCTGGCATGCCTCCGCATGGTATGTCTCCAGGCATGCCTCCACATGGTATGTCACCACAACATCAACCTGGTATGCCTCCACATGGCATGTCGCCACAGCATCAGCCTGGTATGCCTCCGCATGGCATGTCGCCGCAGCATCAGCCTGGTATGCCTCCACACGGAATGTCGCCACAACATCAGCCTGGTATGCCTCCACACGGTATGTCTCCACAGCATCAGCCTGGTATGCCTCCACATGGTATGTCTCCACAGCATCAGCCTGGTATGCCTCCACATGGTATGTCTCCAGGCATGCCACCACACGGTATGTCCCCACAACATCAGCCTGGCATGCCACCACATGGTATGTCTCCTCAACATCAGGGTATGCACCCTCAACCAGGTATGCCTCCTCATAGTATTACCCAGGGTATGCCACCACACAGTATGAACCAGCAAGGTATTCCTCCGCAGCAGCAAAGCATGCATCCTCATGGAATGCCTCCCCAGCAGCAGCAGCAGGCAGGGATGCCCCCACAAAAACAAGGTATACCACCACAGAGTATGCCTCCATCTCAACAACCACCACCCCAACAACAAGGCATGCCTTCATCACAACCACAACAACCTGCATTACCTAATGAAAACCAGAGCAATAATTTTCCTCACAGCCAGGTGAATTCTCCGATGCATATTGGACCTGGTTCAAATAAAGGGCCGATGTCTAATTCAAGTCAGTCGTCCAGTGTCGGCCCTATGTCCAGTCCAGGGCCGCTGTCAGGGCCATCGCCAATGTCCAGTGGTTTACGTTTGTCCCATTATGACCCACCTTCAATGAGTTGTAATTCAAACATATCAAGTGGGGGGACAAGTACATCCAGCAGTGTATGTTCGTCCACGAGCTCGTCCAAGACAAGCAACATGACAAATATCACATCAGCCAGTCTGGCGAACCTTGCAAAGGGAGTCGAACACTTGTCTCATCAGATGCAGCAAAACATGATGCAAGGTGGACCATTCCACAGTATACAGATACAAGGTAATGTTAGCAGTCAGCAGAATTCAACAAACAATCCACAACAAGGATTGACAACACAATCTAACAGCAACAACAATAATATGGCTGTTTCTCAAAGTCAGTGTCACAGTCCAATGCCTCCAGGCCAAAGTGTGCGGTCAGGCCAGGGTCCAATGACACCAGATTCAATGACCCAAGGTCCAATGCCTGGCCCTAACAACTCCTTCATGAATGCTAACATGCCACCAATGCAACAGCTTAATATTGATGGACCCAGTTATAGTCCCTCCATGCAAGTACCGCCAGAAGCTGCCCAGATGGGTATGGGGCAGGTGCCTGGGCCGAGGCCACCTGGACCTCTACCGCCACAACAAGGTTGTCCTGGTCCAGTACCAACCTCTGTCAGCCAAAACCAATCCATGTTGCCCAATGTTGGGCCCCATCCAAATCCAGGTAAACAGACAAATGCAAAACCTGGAAATCCTACAAACCCAATGGTCAATCCAAACTCTCGCATGACCCATTCACCAGGCTTCTCTTCCAATTCTGTGGGCAATGCTAACATTCAGATCCAAGCAAAAACACCTAACACTATTCAGTACTTACCTGCACAGCCTGTTCAGAATTCCCAAAATATGAATGCAAAACATCAAAGGCCTGATTTGGACTTCATGCAAAAACTTACCTCCCCTGGCCACACTTTAGACTGCAAACCACCACAAGCAAAAATGCCACGTTTTGCTGGACCTTCTTTACCAGAAATGAGGCCTGGTATGCCTAACCATTCAGGTGGTATGCCACCCTCAATGATGATGCAAAACCCCAATCCAAACATGCCAGGAAACATGCCTGGGCCTGGTATGGGTAGTCCTGTTCATATGTCCCCAATGAATAATCCCATGGGAGGTCTCCCTAGTAATATGGGTCCGTGTGATATGATAGGTCCAGGCCCAATGCCCAGCATGGGGCCAATGAATGGTATGAATCCAGGTGGTGGTAATATGTGTGGCAGTCTTCCCCCACATGGAATGGATGGAAACTTGCCCCCCCACAGTATGCACCCTCAGTTCAACCCACAAATGATGGGGGGTGGACCACCAGGAATGATAAATAATGGGATGATGCAGAGTCAACAGATGATGCAAGGTCCTGGGCCTGGCCCTGGAATGCACCCAGGCATGCCAATGCAAGGTATGCCCCACCCATCCATGCAGCGTGGTCCACGTGTGCCTGGGCCACCTCCCAATGGTCCACCTCAGGGTTCTGGCTCTAACCCTGTCAGTCCAGCTGGATTCAACCAACAGTTTCAACAATTCCAGCAACAGCTTTATTCTCAGAACCGACCTCGTCAGATTTCTCCAATGGGCAATATGATGCCAAGTCCTGGTCAACAGTATATGGGCATGATGCCCAACATGCCTGGCCCCACCTGAACAAACTCTAAAGCAAATGGTGGTGCAAATGAATGTCAATTATCACTTGATAATATCAGGAGGCAATAGGAATGGGGAGGGGAGATCATTGGTGGTGTTTGCCCCAAATGCAACTGCTTCGTTGCTTTTGGCAACCACAATACAATCTTTAAAAATAAAACAAAAAAAAAAGAAAACAAAAAAAAAAAAAAATCCTGCTGTCTGTCTCACATCCAATGAACTGGCAGGTGCTACCAGCAACCCTTCCTCTCTTTTATCTCTCTCTCTCTCACTCTTTCTTTCTTCTTTCCTCTCAGCTTTACCCTAGATTCATATCTCAATGGAACATGAGCTGTTGTTGACACTAAAGAAATAGTTATTTCATGGCTATAAGAGGATCACTAAGACTTGATAATTTTTTTGAGCCCAATCATGACTTGTAATTAAATTTGAAAATGAAAAAAATTGAAAAGGAAACTACTTTTTATTCCTCCTTGAGAAGAGCATGCATATATGTATATACATTTAACTGACTGCCCAAGAATTTTTTTTTTTTTGCATGTGTGTTAGTGTGTATACATTTATACATGTGTATAAAATCACAAAAATCTAAGAATTGGCCACTTAAAAACTCTAACTCCATTAATAATTTTCAACTTGATTGACTGAAATGAAAGAGAGATGTGAAAAAAGAAAAATAATTTGTTTTGGAAAATTAGAAATGTTCTCAACTTCAGTAACAAAACAAAACAAAAAAAACCCACTACGACTGCAGATATTGGACAATTCTGTCACCTTCATCTTGGGTTGGGGGATTTTTTTTTTTTTATTATTAAAACTTTTTGTGACTTCACCATTTTCAGATTTTATTTTATTTGACTTTTTTTTTTCAATACAAGGAACTGGTTTTACCAGCGACGAGTTTAAAGATGAAAAAGAAAAAAAAAAAAAGAGAGAAAATTTCTCCAGTTTACAGAAACGAAAACATCAATCTTTATTTTATTCTATTTTCCCTTCATTTTATTTTTGAAGCTAAAAGCAACAGGGAGACCCGTACAGTTGCTACCAACCTCTCCCTGCCACCCCTGATCTGTTGACTGTGAACGACTAATGACTTCTATGAGTTGGTGTTTCCAAATCCAGGAATGTATATAAAATGAATAAATGGTTTGAAACTAATTGTCTGCACTAACGAAACATGGGATCTTAATTTGCATACCCTTTTTGATCAACTCTTTAACTTTTACACATCTCTCCTTCTGCATACACATAAGAGTGTATGTATAATGGCATGTATATTTACATGCATACATATACACACACACATATGCGTACACCCATATACAACAAATTAGATATATTCATGCTGAGGCGTACACTAAGCTTCATCTGTGCTGACTGATCCCTTGCAGACTGATTTTTCTGCCAATTTAGCTCCAGTTCATACTGACAACTTTCAAATTGAATGAACTGGGATTTCTATTTTTGTTAAATTCTAGACATTTTTCTCCTTTTGTCATGTGACTCCAACCAAAACAAAAAACAAACAAAAAAAACAAAAAAAAAAAACTCATCAGAAGTGAAATGAATCAACATTTGAAAAACAAAAAGAAACACATGTAAACCTTTACTGGAAGAGACTTTCTTTCTGTAAACTCTGACCCTACCCTCTGTTTATGATGATAAACTTTCAGCAGTTTCTCAACTGCTCAGTATCTTCAGGGGATTTGCTGTAAGTGTGCAGTGTATGATTGTGTGAGAGAAGCTTGTATGTTAAAAAGGGAGTGTCCCTTTTTTTTCTGTTTGCCGACATGGTCATTGATTTTGGTTTCTGTCATTTCTCTGTGGCCACTCATCATATCTGTTTAAAGAAAATACATTTTCTTTTTTTCATTTTCTTTTTCTTTTCTTTTTTTATACATATGTTGAATTAATCCACTGACTTTTATTCTGTCTCAAGGTTGATGACTGGTCTTTCTCTTTATTTTTTTTTTAAGTTGCTGTGAAAGTGCAGCGTTTTGTTCAGGCATCACGCAAATCATATAGAAATCATTTCTTCTCACTTCATCATTCATGTCTGAATGATTATTATTATTATTATTAACAACAACAACAATTTTTAAGAGAATTTGTAAATAGCAAGTCATCCAAGCCCTCCTCACATGATTTTAGAAGCATATCGTGGAAAACTAATGGACAAAACATCATAGAAAAGAAGAAAAAAAAACTTTTGTGAAGGTCATTTCTGGTTTAGGAACTACCCCCCCCTACTCAACACACACACACACACGCACATACACACATATATATATATATATATATATATATATATATATATACATACACACACACATACACACACACCTCTGTCTTTCTCACTCTCAAAAAAAATATTTGGAAGCTGTCCATTTAAGTTCTTCCAGGTTCCCTTTGAAGGGGAGTGGTAGGGAGCATATATACGATTTACAGAGAATGAAGCATAAACATGCCTAGATGTTATTCATTATTTTTTTTATTGTGTTTACTTTTATTTTTTTATCAGAAGGAAAACAAAAAGCATGTAGTTATAATGTATTAAAAAAAAAAAATGAAATCTTTACTTTTCTTTAAAAGTCAGAGACAAGGGTGGGTCAGAAATAAATTAACAAATTCAGCATCTGACTGCTGTGCGCTCTTGCGCAGTACTCCCCCTCTTCAGTCGCCTACTTTGACATTGCTGTGAATTCATAAAACAAAGAGTGAACCAATTAAACAACAAAAATTCCTGTAAAAAGGTGGAATCATTTCCAAAGAGTTCTTGGCATGTAAAACAGAAATTCAAAATTTCAATATAAGAAAAGGCAGAAAAAAACCCCAAAAAAACAACTTTAGTTTCTTATCAGACCAATTTCTTTTTCTTTCCCCCAGCCTCTCCATGTTTATTTTTTATTTGATGTTTTGTCCATCTGCTCATTTTCTTCAAGCTACGAGCAAAGGTGAGGTTGTGGCTTGGTGGATCATCAGACTGTGGCAGCTGACCCCACCCCTCTCCACAGAAAAAAAAGAAACAAAAACTTTTCTCTCTCTATCTTTCCTTCTCTGAAAATACACCTTAAAGCTGCTGCTGCTGTTTCTGCTGCTGTTACCCGTCCCTTCACCCCCACAGGGCACGGTTGTTACCTCACCTCAACTGGTTGTCATTGTCACATATGAAATTTAACAGAAAAAAGCAAAAAAGATTCGTCCAATATACATTGAAGTATATACAGAATGTATTTTCACATACAGACAAATAGATATATACACACAAACACTCCTCCCCCAAAACAAAACAGATGTGGATTCTGGTTTGGCCTTTCTCATGGGTCCTGTCAGCATGTACAATTTAAAAGAAAGAAAGAAAAAAAAAAAGAAGAGAAAAGGCTTTAGGGTAAAATTGAAAATTGAGGTTTATTGTTAACATAAAAAATAAAAACTTTTAAGAGTGGAAACGGTTGGAAATAAATTCAACTGAATACTCGATAATGATTGCTCTTCTTGTTCCTCTTTGTTTTTTTGTGACTTTTTCTTTTTTTTTTTTTTTTTTTTTTTTTTTTTTTTTTTGTGACTTTTTTTCTTTCTTCAGGTTTGAGATGCAGGGGTTCTCAGGAGGTGTTATCCAAGAAATTTTCCCTTTGCTCAAAATCATTTGTTGTTTCTCCCCCTCCCCATATACACACACATTGAACTTGACAAAGCAAGAATCATATTAGTCAACATGTTACAATATCAGAAAATGGCAAAGCCAGAGAGGTGAAAACAGGAAGATGTTACAAAAGGCTATCAAGACCAAAGGCCCAGGAAAACTGAAGAAAGGGGTTTTGTTTCATCAGGACAATACTCCAGCATGCAAGCCATTGGTTTCAATGGCTGCTGTGTGTGACTGTGGCTTTGAATTGGTCACTTTCACTATTCTCCTGATCTGACTATCATCTGTTCCCCAGCATGAAAAAAACTTTTGACTGTGAACCAGTATTGCAATGATGTTGACATCATATCTTCTGTTGACTTTTTTGACAAATAGGATGAACATTCAGATTTCAGTTTACCTTAAGAGTTGAAATTAATACATGCAAGTGTTCACAGCTCTAGAATCACTCCTTCATAGTTACAGCCTATGAACTTTTCAACTAATCCTTATATTCTCAGTCTAAACTCCACAAATCATGTCTTTCTGGCCTCTTCCCCAACACACACACACACAGACACAAAGTTAAATCATATACACATTGAAATCTACATTAATTTATTAGTTAGTATAAGTATTAATTACACAAGTTATTCTAATGAAGTGATTAGCCTCATTGATTCCACCCATTAAAATAATAATAAAAGGAAGAAATATTGATATGTAAATAATGTGAATTAGATTCACAAAACAAGAGGAAACTTACACAAGAAGAAAAGTCAATACTGCTTACAGATTAATGATCAACTACATGTTAATGTATAAAAATGTTATTTCCATCTTACACTGTATTGTCAACCGACCCCAAGGTTTTGGAGAACAAGCACTTTTTTCTCTCTTTTTTACATCACTCCAGTCTACTGACTAATCTCTTCGCTCTGATTTTTTTTCTGATTGCTTAATTCAGTTACCTGATTAACTAAACCCAGTAAATTTTGATTAGAATTGATTTTTATCCAGCAACACTTTAAAGTCATTCTCTCATGTTATTAACTCTCTTTATTGTTTTTTTTTCTTTTTTTTTTTTTTTTTGCAATGTCTCAGATTAAAAATGCACTTAGTAGTAAAAGTATTTATTGCACTAGTTTTATTCATTTTTTAATTAAATATATATTAAGGTATCATAGGTACCAAATGTTTTCCATTACTGTATTATTCTCACCCAAGTTTTACAAATATATGTGGATTGCACCAAAAATTCTCATTTAAAAAAAAAAATTTCTTTGTGCAAGAATATGACTTTGGACATATGCAGGAAAAACATGAGAATTTGAGTGGCAAACAAAAATATTCATCCAAGTTGTGCATTTGGCAAAGACTTTGTTTTGTTCTTTGCCCTTTAATAATTTTTGAATTTATAATCAAATTTAGTATATCTGTAGGATAGGTCATTCATTTTTCATTCATTGAAGTTTACTACTATTGAAAGGCTTGTTTGTTCTTCGAAGTTTATTGTGAGTAAAATTCTGCTGATTTTAAATGGCTGAAGAGAAAAATAAATTTAGTGATTGATCAGGGTGTGCATCAGAAGTTTGATTTCATGATGGGGAGAAATCAGGTGACTCCTGGTCAAATAGTGGTTCAATAGGCCAAAGTGATGCTGATCCTTCTTCACAGAATAAAGGAAACTCTATTCTCAATACTTGGCAATGGTGTAAAAAGAATTATCAGTCTGCTAATTATGGTTTTTTGCCTCTACAATTTTAGTGTGAAAATGGTAACGAATGATCCTGTATTTTTAATTAAAATAAATGAATTTACCACTCAAACTAGTTTTAAAAATTGCAAAGATAATTCACAGATGGAATTAGAACTTTTCATTTTTTTGAAAATTCATCAGGGAATCACTGAAGGAATTATCTTGGGATAATCCCCATGTTTTATATTCTGCATGATTTCTTTTATTATTTAATTTAAAAAAGACAAAATATATTTGCTACATGAACATTGTATATTTGAAATAAAAACAAAAGTTCAAAATTGAAACAATATTGAAAAATTTTAACAATTCTTAAGGGGTTGATTATTTCTAGTTGTGCACAAGTTAAAGATTAATTTAGGATTGAATGAAGAACAAAAATTATTATATGCCTTTCCATGAATATTTTTGTTTTTATATTGGAATTTTTTGGAATGAGGGATTATCATTATTATATGCCTTTTAATTTGAACTAGTATACAAAAATTAAGTTACTACACTAGCTGAATAAGAAAAATATATTCCCGTGGATTCAATAAAGAGTAGAATTCAAAATTCAGAGAATGTTGAAGTATAACAGATACTCAAAGAAGGTTGTTAGGTATAACAGCCAAAATACTGTGATTGCAATAACCAAATGGAAAGGCATATCATCATCATAATAATAATAAAATCTTAAAAGATCTGTATATTTTCAGAAATATTTGTACATGTTTAACAGAAAAAATATTAATGAATCTTCTTATGACCTTGGAAGTGACTGCATGCCCAAATCAGGTCATTCTTGTTCCTGTTGACTATCACATTCATGATAGTAAATTTCATCCAAAACTTGACCCCCATCTTTAGCACCTCAATATAGGTAATGGTTTGACTTACTGGGACCATGGTTGATGATGCCATGAACTTGATGGTCAAACTCAGATGTCCTAACAAAGTCTGACTACTTAAAATGGTTCTTGGCCACCAACAATGCATCCTAGCCAAGAATCTCTAGTTAATTGCTGATCTTGAGCATGAACCTGACCATTCTTTTTCCGTGTGTTGCCAAGCTTGACAGCTCATACCACAGGCATGTTATGCTTGCTTTTTTATTTCCTTCATCAGATTTGAAGCTACCATGTTAATGCACTCAATATGACTGAAATATATTCTAAAATTTGGCATATACCACCTAACATTATGCCAGGCTGTCTTCCATTTGTGTACAGCCTGTTAATAGTATATTTTCAAATACCTGGCACAAACTCATACAAGCACAGGGTGCACCAGTTATTTGAAAATATACCATCCATCTTGTGTGTGTGTGTGTTTAATATATATATATATATATATATATATATATATATATATATATATATATATATTAAAACATTTTTATCTTTATACATTCTTTTTATAGATAGAAGTATTTTAAGTAAATGCTCTGTTTATAATAAACAGTATTAAACAACATTTACCGCCTGAATGTCTGAGAAATTTTCATAGAAAATTTTCGTCCTCCGACAGGAATCAAACCTGTATCCTATACAGAACCGTCATATAGCCTGACGTGCCTTTAACTGTTTCAGCCACAGAGGAGCATTCGGTTAGCAAAGTCGAGAGATATAACTTTAATGTCACTACAGCAAGGGAGATAACTCTAGTTATCACCCTTGCATTGATGATACCAAGTGACAGTGTTTTTATCACAATGCTCAAATGAATAATGGGTGCAAAGAGAAAGGATCATCCCTGGAAAATCAAAAAAAGACAGGGAACAAAAACAAAAAAAAAAGTGATCCAAAGATATTAAGAGGTGGACATGCAAATGGGTAAACAATGATAATTGCGGAGGAGGGGGAGAATATATTTAAAGATTCACCTGGTCAGACCTAATGATAGTCAGAGCTTAATATGCTGTTGTGAATAAGCATCTTTGTGTATGTGGAATATAGTTTGTTTTTGTTTTTTTCTTATGTAAATCAATGTTTTCACACTAAGTATTAATCAGCTGATGCTAGTAGAATTTTTCAGGGTATGATTATAGACATACCTTGTGAACTTCAACTTATCTATTTTAATAAAAATATTTACATTAGCTTAATTGGTGGTACAAGATTTTATTATCTAACTTGTGTTGCTCATCAAACTGTGTGCATATGTGTGCTTATTTATCTATCTATTGATTGATTGAGAGCATGGGTGCCTCATAATCAGCTACTTTTGGTAGATGGAGCTCAACAATCCAGAAATGAAAACACTGATTTTAAACCTCCACTACCTTGCAGTCATAATCAAACATGGAAAAGGCTATAGAAAGTAAAACTGGAGTGAAGCTCCAAAGAGGTTGGCTGTGTTATACACACATGGTAGCACAAGAGAACAAACAAAACAACAAATACTGCCATTGAGGCAAATGGAAAATAAGGCAAGAATTATAGAGTTAATATAAAATTCTTTGTATTGCCAATAGAGTGGGATGTCTCTTTGTGGGGTGAAAAAGAAGTATCTCAGAGGAAAGGTAGCGTTGGCAGGAGCTGAAGCATGTGTTCAATCAGTTGACCAAGGTCACTAGTAATGACATTGAGAGGATTAGTGAACCATTCACCATGATTCTGTTACAGTTGTTATGAGCAGCATTTTTAAAAGCAAATGTGGTGGCTCGTAAACTCGTCTTTTCATGGTTTTTCTTTGG